ACAAAGTTTGACATTTCAAAATGACCAGTAAAGGAATTATTTTTTAAATTTCTGACTTGCGTTGTAACTTGAGTATTGACACCACAATGTTAATGTGGCAAGATGTGTAGGCTTTACCTGTCCAGCATTCTTTTTATAATTGATAATTTTATATTGCAATTTTAAATCATTTGTATTCTTAAGCTTTACTATCAATTTGGAAGTTTCAAAATAAATCTTATTTTACTTGTACAATGACAAAGTTATTCTATTCAATTAGCTCATGCTCTCTCTGTATCTAACAAGCCATTGTTCAGTCATAAATTCAATATAATAATTAAAATAAATGGACTTTTTCAAAGATGAGAGCTGTAGTGAGGAAATGTTGTTTTGGGGAGTTTTTTTTTATTTTTACCATTGCTGCCCGGATCTTCTCAATTTCCAACCACTTTCCCAGAAGCTGAAACTCCTCCTCAGTTTCTCCAATTCTTCTGAGTGTGTTCACTGTATAAATTAATATGGATTAATCTTTGTCAAAGCTTGCTAGTCACGGATCACTATCATCTACGATCTGCTCCCTTCACTAAAATGTCACGGTTCCTAAACATGATAACATATAATATAAGATAAATACATATCTTATATGTCAAACTGATGAAGATGTTTTCTTAATTTGCTGGTGTTTTTTCAAGTTGGAAGTTATAGAAAGAATAAACTAATTTGATAGATTCCTTGATTTAGCTTAACAACTTGAAGTAATCTGCACGCACAATAAACTACAGTAAAATATATTTACATCTCTTAACAGAAAAGGTTTTCATAAAATGTTATTTAATAACAGTAGTCATAATAAGCATATTTCCAGTGCATGCTTCAGGCTTGCATAGTATTGTCAACTCGTCAGAGTCCATGGTAATGCTCTGCAAACTTCGACAGATGGTTGAACCAGCTCATTTGGTCGGACATCATACTTCAGCTGTGCGTCTTGCGTCTTCAACCTGGAACTAAAGTTTGATTCACTTCTATTTTGTAAACCATCTTGACCAGGTTACTTCCTGAGAACTGGTTCAAAAGAACGATTCATTCAAGAATCGGACATCACTATCAGGTACTACTTATGGAGAGACTGTCAGGCTAGGGACCACCAGGCTGTTACTCGGGTGACTCGGGAACGCCGGGCTTGGCAGCACTGAGACCACTGGACTAGAGGGTGTTGGGACCAGACTCGAGTTGCGACCACCAGACTTGAGAGCAATGGGACCACTAGATTGGGAGCGCTGGACTAGAGGGCGCTGGGAGTACCAGACTTGGGACCAGCATATTTGGGAATGCTGGAAGCAACAGGGGAGGCCGAGATATAGCCAAATGTGTAGGGTGAGTTCCAGAACATAGTTTATGTATTGTTTGAGGTTCAGTGTTGGGGATTTAATATTGCATTACTCCCTAAAAAAGTAACTAATTGTGTTACTTTTTATGGAAAGTAATGCGTTACATTATACATTTGCATTACTTTTCCTCATCTGGGCTGGGTTTGCTTGCTTGTTTTAAAGGGGTCATATGATGCGATTTCAATTGTTCCTGTCTCTTTGGAGTGTTACAAGCTCTTGGTGCATAAAGAAGATCTGTAAAGTTGCAAAGACTAAAGTCTCAAATCCAAAGAGATATTCTTTATAAAAGTTAAGAGTCATGGATCGCCGGATCGGCTTTCACCGTGGACGAAGCGGAGTCCAGCCCGGGGTCGTCGCATGTGGTTGCCGCAAGCCCTCCGGACGCTCCTTTGTTGAATCCTCCGGCCGCGCCATTCTCAAGCCCGCCGCCTCTGCTCACTCTAGGCCGCCGCTGCCGCTCACTCTAGGCCACCGTGTGTTACGCTGTGTTTAGTTGTGAAAGCGAAACTACTTTGTTGGGCCTTCCAAAAATG